TATAGACTAACTTAACTTAGATTGCAATTTCGTTTCTTTTTTATACATGTTTTTCATCCCCATTGTAATCTAAGAAGGTTTCTACCAATTCTATAATTTTAACCACTCAAAGCGTGTCATGTGCATCGGTTCCTTGATGACAATGGCGACGAATTGTGAGATAGCTAAACCCTAAAAAGCTGTCATATTGCTCATTTTAGGGTTTTACTATCCTTACTCATCATTGTTATTTAAAAACGGATCCTAAATGAGACGCTTTGTTTGGTTCAAATAATGTCATTAGAACGCGACTGCGGTTACAAAGATGTTAGATTACAGTAGAGGCAAAATATCAGAAAATTAGAAACTAAACAGTAATATTATTATGTGATGGGACTAATAGCAACACACGGTTTATCGAGAACACATACCTGAACTCCATATCAGCGCTTGAATTAAACACAACCACAGCACGGTGGAAGGCATGGTGTCTTTAAATCGAACAAAAAAAACTTTATTTTAATCCGATAATCCGTTAGTCCAATTTTTGTAAGTTCCTTAAAATTTGGTTCCGGTAAATTCCGAACGACTGTCTTGGTTGTCACAGAAGAACTAACTGAGATAGGTGTCAAATATAAAAAAGAAACCAGATCGTTCGTTTACCTAACTCTATGTAATATGATTGTATGGAAATTCGTCAACAATGCGTCCCTTAACTTTGAATACAACTCTTTAGAACCCAGAATAAAAGGCATTACCTCGCCTTTTGAATTATGGCTATTCTTTATTAGAAAAGTAATCTTTATTCTTTATTCTGTAAAATGGTTCGCGGTGGTAATGGCGAACAGGATTTCAGGGATTGGTAAGGGTTAAAGGGTAAAAAAGAAAACTGTGCGGAATTGGATCTTCCTGAACGGAAAATTCGAATTCAAGTCCAAATAGGGAATTGGCCCCTAATGACCTAATGATTTTTGGACTCTCAAAAGAGCAATGCATTTCACCACTATTTTCTGTAGCGTTACTCAAATCCCTTTTAAAAGGTTTTTAGACAAGGGGCTGAAATCGGGGAGGATGTGCCCGCCTGTGCTAGTCAAAGGACTTAACGGGGCTTAACCCCCGTTACCTGTGGTTGATACCCCTTCAGATAAATAAACAAATTTACCCAATTTCTTTTTCTCACAAAATATACGTATGTACGTGATATCATAAAGATATCAACTGCCAAACCACCAAATTGATTCAGATACAACTACCAACTACTACCAATATCCTCAACTCTCTAGGCTGTGGTATCAGCTTCTGCTGGAAGCTGACGTTTACGTGTAATCTGCCAACCAAGATGGAGAAATGTGCTGCCACCGCCAGTGCACTAATCAGATGACCATTTACCCAGTTTTCAACAGCTCTCCTTATAGATATCGAACCCCTATACTCAACCCCCAGCACCCCTAGTTAGATACCCCTCTCCACCACCGATTCTAGATATCATATCTATTTTAACAACCCCTTCCCATCTAATCCAGATATCACCCCGATCTTTTCCTCTCCTCGCCCTATTATCAAAACTTGCCACCCCAAGTTTTAACACCCTTCTAACTCACCGAATCTAGATATCACCCCTATTTCAATTTGAAATTATCCTAATCCTTACTACCCCTAGTTTTAACGCCCCCGATTCTATCTAATACCATGCCAATGTATAGTAAATAGTGCAAGGTTATGGTCTCTATTCATGGGGACAAAAAGCGATATGAATATCTTCTAATGTCACAGTGTAATTAAATGGAAGTTTTATGTCATGTTTATGACGTTGATTCGATATTAATGTACGTTAATGTTTTTCAGACATTAGTCATTTTCTTAGATTGTGTCTTTGTCACAAATAGACGCCATTTTTTAATTCCTGAATTTTTGATATATCACATTGCAATGGGATAAATACCAGACAGGAAGAAACTGTTTACTTAATAAGAAGGAAAAAAAGTGTCTGTGAATTTTTGTTTACCATCTTGCCAATAAAAAATTCCGGATCGACCAATCATGTCTCTGTCGAAAATAGACGTCATTTTTGAATTATTGATATATCCCAATGTAGCCTAATGGAATAAACAAAATAGACAGAAAGAAACAGCCAAAGTTTCTGAATATTTCTGACTGCCATCTTGACAAAAAATTATGGAAAGAAGGCAAATCTTGTTAAACTATGTCTTAGTCTCAAACAGACGCCATTTTTGAATTCCTTTATCTTTATACATCATATTGCCAATTGGAGATTTCGATATTTTCTGTTGCATTCAAGTTTGCATCACAATAAATGCATTAAGCTTATTCCACAATTAACTTAAGAAAAGAAAGCAAAAAACAACTTTATTTTTGAAGAACAACAACTTGGGTTCACAGTTAAGGATAATTTCTACCAGCTGGTCCTTGGCCAAACCTCTTGGAATTGGTCTTTACCGGATTATTTGAACCCATTTACAGCTTGGTTGATTGGAATTATGAGTGAAGATGACTTATTCATGGTCACCGGACTATCACACGCCGATCGAGAATTTAACCCACAGTCGCCATTCATCAAACTTTGCAGTTTTGGACTTTGAAAATGGGCTTAATTTCTGAGAAAAAGGCTAAAAATTTTAAAAAACGAATATTTGCCAAAAAAATAATCAAGATATCCACAAAAAAGAGTAAGAGGATAAATCTAATATTGTTCGAAAATCATTTTTCAAAAATACATTAGGGTCTTTATACTCTTCTTCTCGAAGCCTTAACACATCCATTTTGGAAAGATTTCAAATTCCAGTCAACTGATTGGTCAATCATTAGACAGATTTAAGATTAAGTTTTATTATCCAATCAGATTACTATATTTATTAGAATCTAGATCAATTTTAAAATTTTTTCGAAAATTAGCCCAAAATTTGTAGGACAAGGCCATATCGATTATGACGTATAGCACAATGTCATTTGAAATTCCTATAACGTCAATGTCGAATATATAACGTTATATATCAATAGACCTACTATTTCAACAGACAGTTCAAAAATATAACTATTATGTCCTGTATGCGCTCGATTATTGTGTCCGTCCTATATGTGTTCGATTATTGTGTCCCCCTAGTTCACTTTTCGTCAAGGTCACCTATTTTTTCTTGACAACTATTCCTATTGTCCAAAATGTAGACTACTAAGGGTTGTTGGTTGAGATTTTCGTATCGTGGGTCGTTTTCAAATTATGGATAGAAATCGGCCGCAGAGGGTACTTAAAGTGGAGACGCAGAACCGTTAGGAATAATCCGAGGAATATTAATGGTAAAGCTTTGGTAAGGAACAAGCTACCTAAGTCTGGTGACCTTGAATTAGTCATCTTTCGCCATTATTCAAGTAGGTGAAATTATCCAAGAGAGACGGGCGGTGGGGGGGCGGGGGGGGGGGGGGGGGGTCTAATTCTTTTTACTTACGGGACTGTTGGTGGCATTGAATAAGTCATCTGTCCCCATGCAGTTGACACCGCTAATAATGGGTAGCTAAAAATCTGCTGAAATAACAAAGCTTAATTGTAAATGAACCAGCTACGTCTTATTCCAGTCGACCAAGCTGTAAATGGGTAAGGCTGATCTGGCAAAGATCGATGCCAAGTGGTTTGGCCAAGGACCCCTGTTATCCTTAAATTTGAATAATTTGAGTTCCCAAGCACCTATTTACAGTTCCGAAATTTTACAAAACTTTTTAGCACTAATTTGAACTACATTCCATCGTGAATATTCTTGTCATTGAAATAAGTCTCTGACGCAATGCGACGCCATTTTTACCAAACAAAGCCCAATGCTATAAATAAATATATATATCAATTGCATTGAATACTGTTTGACATTTGATTTCTAATTTAGGCGGTCAAATAGGTATGTTACCATCAAACAAAATCTGATTAAATATTTTTCGAAAAAAAGATCACAGGGCAATACACTAATAAACGGTTAATTGGAAAATGTCTTTGTAAAATTATCGGTAATCCGATTATTAAAGGGTTCAATTCTATTCTATTTCGCCATTGACTTGAAACATACCTATGTAACACTTACGTCTTTTGTGTCTTTTTACAACCGACTTTTCTTACTGAAGTTTTTGACAGTTGAATAATGCAAAGTGTTTTGAAAAGAATCGCCTTTTGGCCCTTACATTGTGCATAGAATGAATGTATTTTCGAGTGTTTGAAAGAACCTTTTAAGCCTTTATGACGCATATATTACCTATACTTCTAAAGTTTTATGGGCGTCAATTATATAGAAACGAGTTTTTGATTAATTTACATGCATAAATAGGCGTTTAAGCGTTCGTTTATGAACCTTTTAATTTCGTTTTTAACATATGCGTTTCTATTTGTGCGTATAGATCTAGCACAATAAGCTATTTTCTTTTTTTCTGTTTTTTCAATGTCGTTGCCAATGAAAAAATTAATAGAAAATACAGGTTGAACCTATTAACCCAATTTGTATGTTGATTTGTTGGCGGTGCATTAACCTCATACGTGGATTTTCGGCGACCTTGAAATGTCTGAGATTTCGTATAGCCTACTACTAATGAAGGCAAATGATATTTTCGACAGTGACGTCATAAACTGGTAAAAGTTTTTTTGTCTGGAATTACAAGAACCACGGATGGTGGTTTACAGGAGATGACCTATTACTATTAGTTACACATTCAAAGGCCTAAAAACTTTTTTGAATCCTTTTAAAGGGATTAAAAATAGGTGTTTCTACTTCCTATGAGTACAGTGTTGGGCCATTAATGGCTTCTTTCTATGTAAGCCTACGACCAGGCCCGCAGCCAGGAATATTTTCCCCCGCCCTGGAAAAATTAGTAAAATTTCAGCCAGGCATTGGGATTTGTTTGAAATAAAAGAAAATTGTTGTAATATTTTCGGATTCAACCATAATTCGATCCATTGGGGTAAAATGTCCAGGCAAATAGTGTCAAAACCAAGGTACATTAGTTGTTGTCTGAGTCCTTTCAACAGTCATGCAGAGTTATCCCTCATCCAAGATGTCTGCGCCCACAACTAAAAACGAGAAAGAGCAGAATGAGTTAAAATATGTTGAAGAACGGGGAATTAAAATCAAAAATGAAGTTGCTAATATACCCAGTGAAAGATCAAAACTACACAATCCCAAAATGGCCATTTGCAGGTTTGTTATGTTTTGACTTTTTGAAATCAAAAATTGGTGTCTGTGAATTGCAGATTTTGGCCATGTAGGAAGTACAGAAAAATGAATAAATTGTAGTTTTACGACCTACATAATGGGTTAATCAAGACGGCAAACTGCACTTTATTGAGTAAATCACGACTATATTTCCAATGCAGCAATGGAAAGAGTTGAGAGATGCTTAGTTTGCTTGTATTGTAAAAAGGTCCTTTTTAGTTTATTACCCTCTCTGAATGACTGGAGGCTTTTTCATGTCAGACTCCCTTAATTGAAACACTGCCAGTGCAAAGCAAGGTTAAGAAATTCGAGTTATATTTTCTTATCAGAAACGTTTTCTTGCATCTTTCAGGTAAGCGAGTGAATTCGCTGAGCTATTCCAGTCCCTATGAATGATTTAGAGACTTGACAAACCAAGGTACTTACTTATTATGTTAGTTATTATGTTTTTTTTTCTTTTAGAGAAATGACATTATTAACTTTAATGGTGGCAGTGAAAGATTCTAAAATTAAACTCGGATGTCTTGAGGGTGTTTCATCATCAGGTAGAAACATTTCAATCTTTTTTTTTTTTTTTATATCTTTTCCATTAGATGTATAACCAATCAGATTAAAAATGCAGATCAAGGATGTTTTGTTTTCTTTATCTTTTCTGGGTGACTCAAATTTTCTAAGACAATCTATGATGTTTTGTTTCATATTTTTCTGCGAGGGACTCTTTTTGCCACTCATGATCTTTGAAAATTTTCATTTACTATGATTTCTAGAACTCTGCAATTTTCACCAAATCAAATTCTATACAGGAAACAGCTGATGCCTAATTGCTCTAATTTCAGAGAGTCCACACAGCTACTATTTTTTGGTTATTTTATTGCAGGTCTTGCGGCTTTACAATGGAAGAAGATGTTAAAAGATAAAATTGATGTAACAGCTGCAACGTTAGATTGTTTGGACAGCATCAACGTCAACTGTAAAAACAATTATATTCATCCTATTCCATTTCCACTGGATTTTACTCGCACACCTGGCATAACCTTACCACAGCAAGGTGAAAAAGAAATTCATGTCTGTCAGGCTAGAACCAATGTCTTATTACACATGGAGGCCTTTGATTTCATGTAAGTTAACATTCATTACACCAATTGAAAAACTAATGTGAGAGCATCTTCACATTGTCAAGGTATTACAAACTTCATACTTATACCTTGACTGCAATAGCCACTATTCTTGTATCCTTGAAGTTTGTAAATGAGGCAATTTGATTGGATTGATGTTAGTGAATACAGCCAATTAGAGGCCTTGTGAGAAAGTTTGTGAACATAAGCCATAAAGTCCGTGATACAAAAATAATGGCTAAAAATAAATGATTGATACACTATATGTAGCCATTTCCTCTCACAGAGACCGTGTATTTTTTTATTGTAGATTTCCCTGTATATTGTAGATTTCCTTTAATATTGTAGATTTCTGGATCCCCACAAATCCTGTACCAGTTATATAGACGGTGTGTTTGTAAATCTTAGACACTTTGGTATATTATGTTTAATCGTATTGTATTTTTCAATTGTAGATTTCATTTATATTGTAGAATTCCAATTTATATTGTAGATTTCTAGATCCCCACAGATCTTGTACTAGCTATTTGACACGTGGGTATGCTAAATTTTGCCAGACTTATTGATTGTAGATTTCCCTTTACATTGTAGATTTCCCATTATATTGTAGATTTCTAGATCCCCACAAATCCTGTACCAGTTATATAGACAGTGTGTTTGTAAATCTAAGACACCTTGGTATATTATGTTTAATTGTACCAGATATTTCAATGTTTGCCCGGTCTCATCAAGTGGTAGAAAGGATGTATTCAGCAGCTGTTATTAAAACAGACTATATAAAAGAGCTTGCAGCCAGAGTAATTCTTGGAAAATTGGCCAGGTAGGTTTGAGTGTAGACCAATCCGATTAAATGCAGATATTGCTGTTTTGTTCCATTTTTATTCTGCTGGATACTTCACTTACCTTCCATGATCTGACAAGATTTTTCTTAGTATGGTGTTCTGTGGGATTTTGACACACTTACATCAAGAGTTAAGTACAAATCAAATCTGGCCTTTTTTTTTTTCTGTGTTTTTTTTTTCTGCAGGGTTGCTACGCTTGCCATCTATGATCTGAATAGATATTTCTTTAATTCGTGTTCCTTGTAAATTTTACCCAGTTATGATTTTCACGGAGCAAATAAAAATACTGTTATAAATAAATTATATTGGAGGAGATCTCTTTTTTGAAATTAAACCAGATTATTTTTACCAGGAGTAAAGGGAGATAATATGTGCTGGAATGAGCTAAAACTTAACAACAATAAGTAAAATCTTTCAAATTGTGTCCTTATCATTAGCCTCTTTTTTCCAGGTCAGCCTCCCAATGTAATAAAGGCCTTGAAGTCTTGTACACCCAGTCTGTAGATGACTTCCTGTTGTTATGTGTCAAAGTTCACAGAGGACCTCACATTGCAGACGCATCCAATCAAAACCTGCGTAGTGTTTTGCACTGTAGAATGTGTGAAGAAAGGGTTATTTTAGAAAAACAGAAAGCTCCTGTTGGTAGGTTACATTTGATGAGACACTTAATGCCTCACGACAACTGTGAAGGTCAAATAAGCATTGCTTTAAGAGTACCCACTAATGATAACTTTCCTCGGGCGTTTGCTTAAAGCTGTCTGTCTCAGTAATGAATGGTAGATTCCCTTGTGAGTGACTTCTTGGTCAAGACTCTTTACTTCCAGCATTTTTCAACTATTTATCCAGTGATAGTAATATTTTGACCTAAATATAGTCCTTAAATTTCGATACTAAGCGAGATAATTCTGAAACTTACATATACACTTAATGCTATATTGTGACTATTGGTTATCTAATGAGACATTATATTATCAGTTTGGATACATATCTTACCACTGATTGCTTTTGTTGACTTTTTTTTACAATTCTTATAGTCCTGAACAACCAGCGTCTGATGTTTGAACTATCAGATCACGTGATCACATGACAATCTGGACTTAGCTCTGGTAAAGCATGGCTGACATTGACTTCTGCTTCTAATTTTTTTTTTAATTAGAAAACCCATATTTACTGCTGCCCTGTACTTGTAATAAAGAAAAAATAGGAAAAACAGCTGTAGTACTGGGACCAATTTGGTAAGTAAAGAAAATACCAAATAGGTAGTATTTGCTATGTGAACTCGCTGAAATGAGTTGATGAATCAAATCGCAGAATATTCTAAGATGCTATACTTGGAGATTTAGTCAAGAGCTTGATTTTACAACACTGAATTTTAATTGGTCCATTGTCAAAGCTCTAAATATTGCCTTAAAAAGTAGGCCTACAAGAAAATGGAAGTAAAACTCAATTTTACTTTCCCTTTTTTTTTTATAGGGCAGGACCAATATTCAAACCAGATTTTCTAGTCAAGATGAAAAATTCAAGTGAAAGTTTAAATTTAGACAAAAAGTCTCTTTCTGTTTTGAACGCCATATTGGATGAAGTGGAAGATTCCATAGAAACAAGGGCAGAGAACTCTGAGTGTAATGAAGAGGAAGTTGTTGACAAGGACACCAAATGTGACCAAAACACAAAACAAACTGAAAATGAATCTGTAACCAATAAAAATTTGGAATCATACACAACCAAAGATAACAGGGAACATAATGGAGGTACACAAAATCTAAAGCGCCCCCTGGATGACAACGAAAATTCAAATTCTCCCACCAAACGCCCCAAACGAGTAGACTTAAAAAATAAAAGTGAAAAAGAGTTGTGGGATCATCACTTCATTCCGTTTTATTATAACACACATCGATGGAAAATGGATGCTGCCAAAAAATTACCAAAGTAAGTGTCGCGCGAGCTGTTAAAATGCATTAGCCTGGAATTGGCTCTATAGGGTTGCTAGGCTGTATTTGAGTTGTTCCAAGTGGACTCTAACCCCCCAGTCAAATAAGAGGCAAATTAGTACAAATTCACAGACTTTCTGTCGAGATCTCTGATTGGCTGCATTAGCTAACATTAATCCAATCCAATCGCTCTATTTACAAATGTCCATGATGCAAGAAAGGTGGCTATTGCAGTCACCTTGACATTGTGAAGATGCCAAAACAGTGGAATGCCTAAAAAGTTTATGGTTTTATATTTTCGTTTCAGATTAGCTGAGCTGATCCAGTTGTTGAAATCAGATGGTTTTAGAGCCAGTCGGACTCATTTTGATTCTAAGTGTATCCGCACAGATGCCTCGTTGAAACAAATTGCTCAGACTTTAAAATCACATTGTAATGTTTATCATTAGAAATGAAATGAATGGTTTTACTCTTTTGCACCAAATTGGGCAAATGAAGACAAGCAATCGAGCAATGCCATGCAGTGTGCCATGAGGGAAATAAGCCTATTCTTTTTCAATTTCCAAATGTCGAGGGATGTGTACAACCTGAAGTGCATAGGCCTTGTGTTAACCAGGTTATATCCAGGCTCAATCATGGTGTAACTAGGAAAACTGAAATACACTGTAATTTAACATTTATTGTATAAAGAACACATCTATTTTAAAAAAAAACTTAAATAGTAGAGATTGCAGTGGTCGTTATGTAAGGGTGTCCTGTATACACAAGTTGACTCGATTGCTTAGTGTCCCTTATATACACGATGTTGCAATGGCTTCTTCCCCATCTTCGTATCTGGAGAAATCCTTACTGTACAAAAAGCACAGGTTACCAATCTTCTGGATAGCTTTACAATATATATTTTCGAAACATGCATATCTGCACGCCTCCAAACTTATAGATTCAGATGAATCTATGAGGTAATTCAAGTAGCAAAGTCCACGGCTTGGGTAATACATTAGATTATAACAGGTATTTGTGAGGCACTGGTCTCGACACTCTACTTCAGTATCGAAGTTGAAATTGACTTCGCTGTCCTCGTATAAACCAAGCTTTTTTATCATATCGTTATCTTGACAATCTGAAACATAGACAGACTAAATTAGAAATATAGGACTATATACTAAAGTTCTTTGGAGACTGTGTATCGGTGTATATTAGTCTGTTATCTGAAGGACTAGATATGGAGTATATACCAAGGTTTTTGAGGACTGTGTATTAGTCTGTTATCTAGAGGGCTAGATATGGAGTATATACCAAGGTTTTTGAGGACTGTGTATCGGTCTGTTATCTGAAGAGCTAGATATGGAGTATATTCCAAGGTTTTTGAGGACTGTGTATCGGTCTGTTATCTAGAGGCTAGATATGGAGTATATACCAAGGTTTTTGAGGACTGTGTATTAGTCTGTTTTCTAGAGGGCTAGATATGAAGTATATACCAAGGTTTTTGAGGACTGTGTATCGGTCTGTTATCTGAAGAGCTAGATATTGAGTATATACCAAGGTTTTTGAGGACTGTATATCGGTCTGTTATCTGAAGGGCTAGATATTGAATATATACCATAGCAAACCCAATTTAAATCCTCAACAAATCCAAAATTCTACTTCCACGTGTTCGTCAACTCAAACTCAACACCACGAGCGCAATGGACGGTTCAATAAGCTAGGGATAGCTGGCAAGATGCCAATATTGGGAGATCCCTTCCTGACATCACTGTCAGAGACTTTTCTCTCCTCCTGTGTTCCCTTTTTATCTTCACGGATTCAATCATCGTAAGGACACGTTTTGAGACTGCGTATCGGTGGAGATGGGCATACATTATTATAGTGTAAAGCTCACCTGAACAGATTATAGTCATTACCCATTGATTGTTGTTACAACTTAAGACACCAGTCTTACCATTGCCTGTAAACCCAGGGTTACACTCGTAGACCCCATAGCTCTGAGTATACCATGTCTTCATAATAGCATTTGAGAGATAAGGAGCAGGTGGACACACTGCGTCTGAAAAATGGAATTGATAAACTCGCAACTGCCATTAATGTATAGTGGAGGGAAGCTCAAATCAACTTTCGATTCAATGACTCTCACTGAATCCGTTGCAATTTCCACTGTTGGAAACCGCCTTGTATTTTGTCAAACGCGGCGCGTTAATAGCAGTCAGATTAAACCAGTGCATCTGGTATACCAGTTTCTCGCAAAATCTTTTGATCAATTTTGTCGCAATGGTGGTATTTCTCGATGTTAAATGCAGCTATGGACTTCATTTCGTGAAAACACGGGTCCTGTAGCATCCCCCAACACACGAACACACCCTCTTGAGGAAAGATCCAAAAAGAGTTTAAAAATGTTGATTTTAGATTCAGCTTACCAGTATTTTTGATCAGAACCATAAAAATGGTGAGAAGAAGTAACTGGAAGATCGGCATGGAAAACATCGTACTATTTCTGAGGTTGACAAACTTCTGTAGTTTAATTTAATATTTTGTCGCACTGAGTACTATTTATAATGGACTTCATTCAAAAAAATTATATTTTCAATGGTTTCAAGGTATGTAGTCGTTTAAATACTTGCTTTTAGTTTTAATTAAATATAAAGAGTTATATCGACTATCTGTATGTTTTAACTAAATATAAAGAGTTATATCGGCTATCTGTATGTTTTAACTAAATATAAAGAGTTATATCGACTATCTGTATGTTTTAACTAAATATAAAGAGGTATATCGACTATCTGTATGTTTTAACTTAATATAAAGAGTTATATCGACTATCTGTATGTTTTAATTAAATATAAAGAGTTATATCGGCTATCTGTATGATATAACTTAATATAAAGAGTTCTATCTGTATGTTTTAATTAAATATAAAGAGTTATATCGACTATCTGTATGTTTTAACTAAATATAAAGAGTTATATCGACTATCTGTATGTTTTAACTAAATATAAAGAGGTATATCGACTATCTGTATGTTTTAACTAAATATAAAGAGTTATATCGGCTATCTGTATGATATAACTTAATATAAAGAGTTCTATCTGTATGTTTTAACTAAATATAAAGAGTTATATCGACTATCAATATGTTTTAACTAAATATAAAGAGTTATATCGGCTATCTGTATGTTTTAACTAAATATAAAGAGTTATATCGGCTATCTGTATGTTTTAACTAAATATAAAGAGTTATATCGACTATCTGTATGTTTTAACTAAATATAAAGAGTTATATCGACTATCTGTATGTTTTAACTTAATATAAAGAGTTATATCGGTTATCTGTATGTTTTAACTTAATATAAAGAGTTATATCGACTATCTGTATGTTTTAACTAAATATAAAGTGTTATATCGACTATCTGTATGTTTTAACTTAATATAAAGAGTTATATCGACTATCTGTATAAACCCAGCGATTTAATTGTAGAGGAACTTAGTTTGTACAAATTCAAATAAGCGATGCTGATGAAAATTTTTTTTTTAAATGTGCTCATATTATTGAATTTCTATAGCAATTAATTTTATTTATCATAGTTAGTATTTTTTGGAATTTTAACAGCTGCTGAAATTTCAGAATATCGCTATTACGAAATTCGAAATTCCCCATAATTACTAACTATGACAAATAAAATTAATTGCGATAGAAATTCAATAATATGAGCAAAACATCGTACATCAGCATCGCATATTTGTATACATTCAGTAAACATATCTAAAGCAGCTTTACTCATACAATATACTCCTATCAGGGGAAACTAAAATGCTAACTTATTTGCTATTCAACAAAAAAAAAACCAAAGCACGTGCAAACAGCTAAATAACCCATATAAAGATGAAAAAAATTACTGATGCTTTATGAATAATCCTTGATTGAAAAGTGTTAAAGTTTTTTTGTCCCACCCGATATAGACGTAATACGTGATAAAATACACATTTAAAATATAGTTCCCCTACAATTAAATCAAGGGGTCTCGTTCCTAAAAAAATCTTACGATATATATTCGTCGCAGTCTTGAATTTTACATTTTGACGTGCAGCCAGTGGCTCAACTACTATAGTTAAAACTAAAAGCAATTATTTAGACCACCACATGCCTTGAAACCATAGAAAATATTATTTTTTAAATTAAGCCATTTGTAAATAGTAACATAGTACTCAATGCGGCAAAATATCAAATTACTCCCTAGAAGTGTACCAGCCTCAGAAATTGTACGATGTTTTCCATGCCGATCTTCAAATTACTTCTTCTCACCATATTTATGGTTTTTGTCAAACATACTGGTAAGTTGAATCTAAAATCAACATTTTTAAACTCTTTTTGGATCTTTCCTTAAGAGGGTCTCAAATGCTTTATATAGCACACGTGGCCTCGGTTTTTGACTAATATATCACCACGGTCAGATTTTACCTACTGGAGTAATGGTTTCCCAAACTTTGACAGTCCTAACACCCCGATTGGCTGTATTCCTTTGTGTACAATCCAACCAAATCGCTGCATTTACGAACGTCCGTGATACTTGCAGTCAATGTATTAGATGAAGTATTGTAATAGCTTGACATTGTGATGATAGGCTATGATGATTGTGACTTTATCAATTCTATTTTTCAGACGCATTTTGTCCACCTATTCCTTATCTCTCAAATGCTATGTTCACTAGATGGTATTCGCTGACCTTTATTGGCTACTCGTGTAACTCTGGGTTTACAGGCAATGGTAGGGCTGGTATTTTAAGTTGTCACGACGATTATTGGGTAATGAATATACTCTGTTCAGGTGAGTTTTACATCATAATAATGCATGCCCATCTCCACCGATGCCCTCCAGGGTTCAATCCCGGCATAGATCGGTTTACCCCTGTCAGTGATGTAGGTAAGAGGGGCTGGCATGGAAAAAGCGTCTAGTCGTTCAGATGGGACAATAAACCGAGGCCCCGTGTGCTACAGGCTGTGCACTTTAAAGATCCCTCGACAGTTTGAAATCGAAAAAGAGCAGGCTATTGCCGCTGTCCTGGCAAAATTTCCCTCATTGTACCCTGCATGGCGTTGCCCGTCTTCATTAGCCCACATGGTGCAGATTTTTTTGGATTTAGATAGGGTTTGCTATGCTATGTTTTTAATGAGTTTGAGTTTGAGTACACATGTAATTGCAGCTTAATAGACTACTACGCAGTCCTCAAAAACCTTGGTATATACTCCATATCTAGTCCTCTAGATAACAGACTAATACACAGTCCTCAAAAACCATGGTATATACTCCATATCTAGCTCTTCAGATAACAGACCGATACACAGTCCTCAAAAACCTTGGTATATACTCCATATCTAGTCCTCTAGATAACAGACTAATACACAGTCCTCAAAAACCATGGTATATACTCCATATCTAGCTCTTCAGATAACAGACCGATACACAGTCCTCAAAAACCTTGGTATATACTCCATATCTAGCTCTTCAGATAACAGACCGATACACACAGTCCTCAAAAACCTTGGTATATAATCCATATCTAGCCCTCTAGATAACAGACCGATACACAGTCCTCAAAAACCATGGTATATACTCCATATCTAGCTCTTCAGATAACAGACCGATACACAGTCCTCAAAAACCTTGGTATATACTCCATATCTAGTCCTCCAGATAACAGACTAATACACAGTCCTCAAAAACCATGGTATATAATCCATATCTAGCTCTTCCGATAACAGACCGATACACAGTCCTCAAAAACCTTGGTATATAATCCATATCTAGTCCTCCAGATAACAGACTAATACACAGTCCTCAAAAACCTTGGTATATACTCCATATCTAGCTCTTCCGATAACAGACTAATACACAGTCCTCAAAAACCTTGGTATATACTCCATATCTAGTCCTCCAGATAACAGACTAATACACAGTCCTCAAAAACCATGGTATATAATCCATATCTAGCTCTTCGGATAACAGACCGATACACAGTCCTCAAAAACCTTGGTATATACTCCATATCTAGTCCTCCAGATAACAGACTAATACACAGTCCTCAAAAACCATGGTATATAATCCATATCTAGCTCTTCGGATAACAGACCGATACACAGTCCTCAAAAACCTTGGTATATACTCCATATCTAGCTCTTCAGATAACAGACCGATACACAGTCCTCAAAAACCTTGGTATATACTCCATATCTAGCTCTCCAGATAACAGACCGATACACAGTCCTCAAAACCTTGGTATATACTCCATATCTAGCTCTTCAGATAACAGACCGATACACAGTCCTCAAAAACCTTGGTACTCCATATCTAGCTCTTCAGATAACAGACCGATACACAGTCCTCAAAAACCTTGGTATATACTCCATATCTAGTCCTCTAGATAACAGATTGATACACAGTCCTCAAAAACCTTGGTCTATACTCCATATCTAGCTCTTCAGATAACAGACCGATACACAGTCCTCAAAAACCTTGGTATATACTCCATATCTAGCCCTCTAGATAACAGACCGATACACAGTCCTCAAAAACCTTGGAATATACTCCATATCTAGCTCTTCAGATAACAGACCGATACACAGTCCTCAAAAACCTTGGTATATACTCCATATCTAGCTCTTCAGATAACAGACCGATACACAGTCCTCAAAAACCTTGGAATATACTCCATATCTAGTCCTCCAGATAACAGACCGATACACAGTCCTCAAAAACCTTGGTATATACTCCATATCTAGTCCTTCAGATAACAGACCGATATACAGTCCTCAAAAACCATGGTATATACTCCATATCTAGTCCTCTAGATAACAGACCGATACACAGTCCTCAAAAACCTTGGTATTAACAGACCGACACGCAATCTCCAAAGAACTTTAGTAGATACTCCTATATTTCTAATTTAGTCTCTCCATGTTTCAGATTGTCGAGATAACGATATGATAAGAAAGCTTGGTTTATACGAGGACAGCGAAGTCAATTTCAAATTCGATACTGAAGAAGAGTGTCGAGACCAGTGCCTCGCAAGTGGCTGTTATAATCTGAAGTATTACCCAAACTGTGCACTTTGCCATTTGAATTTCCTCATAGATTCATTTGAATCTGTAAGTTTGGAGGCGTGCAGATATGCATGTTTCGAAAATACATATTGTAAAGCTATCCAGAAGATTGGTAACCAGTGCTTTTTGTACAACAAATTGTTCTCTAGATACAGAGATGACGAAGAAGCCATTGCAACATCCTGTCTATAACGGACACTAAGCACTCGAGCCGGCCATTGTATACAGGGCGCCCTTACATAACGACCACTGCAATCTCTACTATTTAATATGTTTTTTAATATAGATGTGTTCTTTATACAATAAATGTTAAATTACGGCATATTGGAGTTTTTCTGATCAAGCTGACCAATATCTGTCAAAGATAGCACTCCAAGGCTACAGATATTTACAGCCCTGAGCAATGTGTGGCTAGTTG